GTTCGAACGAACGAGGCTCGCCACAGATCGGCAACGAATCGGCGTCTTGCGAATTTCAGATCGCGTCCGCATGCCGACAACGGACGACTGATCTTGGAAATCTAGTCTCGTTCTCCGTCCGAAACAATTACTGTCAAATGAATGAATGAAATATTCTTCATTGCACATAAAATTACAGTTAAAATACAATAAAATAACTTAGGTATAAAGATAGTAAGATATCCGCGTTAATAAGTTTGGTGACTCCCTAAGACAAAGTTCCAAGTGCCTTTAACTTCACCAGCCACCTTACCCTTCAAAACCGGAATGCAATAATAGACACGGTGGCAGTACATCCCTGGACGGATTTTTTCACAAATAGCTCTACAGCTGCTAAAATTAATTGCATGGAATAAAAGAAAAACAATATGTTTCTAAACATTTTAGATCTAATTTTATTTGTACAGGGTGATGTGGATGTCTAGCTTGACACTTATAAATTCAACTCTATGACACTTACGATAACAACGGTCCAAAGTCCAAAAAGTCAAGTTTAAATGCTCTTAACAACGAAAGTATTAAATTCATTAGGTGGTTTTGTTAGACGAATTTTCATAGGATGTTTTATAGTGCGAGACGTACGGCGGGATATCATACCTGCTTGGGCTATATTCCCTTCAAGCATGCTAAGCGCTTTTCGTTATCTTTTGTTATGTGCACAATTTAGGAATAGAATTCCGTGCCTGCGACTGCGTTGCCGAGCACATACAACTACAGCAGGGTTTCTTAACCTTTTCCTAGTCACGGACTCCTCTTAAAATTTCAAAGAGCCCACGTACCCTTTCCGAAAAAATGAAGAAGGCTCGCGGTCAAAAGGTCACGCGCGCAGTACCTATTCAACCACTAAATATTGTATTCCAATCTTTATATTAATGCATTTGTTATGTTAGGTAGGCTCGCCATGGACCCCAGCGTTCATTACACGGACAACCTAGGGGTCCATGGACCACAGAAAGAAACCCTGAACTAGAGTATCTTTAAGGTGCGACTGAATAGGCGTCTTTTGGACGAGCTCGTTCCATCGTCAACTCATTTCCTTCAAACAAATTAATCGTTCTGTGGCTAATACTGTAAGCGTTAGATGAGGAGGGTTTTTTTTTTTTTTTTTTTTTTTTTTATTATTCCTGACAGGCAAATGACTCCACTCCACCTGATGTTAAGTGGAAAGTGGTATCCAAACGCGAAGGAACCTAGTGCAGCGATGGAATCCTCACTAGGGTTTCGATTCCCTGTAGTAACAATTTTGGGGAACGAACTTACTAACTGCGTTCCGGTTTTGAAGGGTAAGGGTGAAATTACAGGCACATGCGACTTGTCAACTTTTGTCTCAGAGTGACAGGCGCAGTGGCAGCGTCCTTTAGATCTTTGCGATTTAAAGCTCTGAGTGACACTGCAATTGTTATGGACAAGCGTGTAGCTGACCACCAGCACTAGTTCGGCCCATCATATATGATAAAAATTGGTATTGGCCAGGGTGTTGTGGGTAGTACACGCTGAAAAAATTTCCTTGTTCATTAGTGCATATTTATGCAATTCCCTAATTGAGACCAGATAATTATTATAGTTGTCTGGCATGTCATTAATATTTTAGAAGAAGTTATTTGCCGCTAAAATACAGGAAGGACCAATCTTTCAAAACATCAACGACCATTTGAATGGTCTTTATTTTTTTTCTACAAAACTTAGACTATGAAAAATTCATTAAACAGGATTACCATAGACTAAATAGATCTAGGTCACGGCTGTAGACAAGGTCTTTAGTTAGAACTGTTGACTTTTAGATAAAACGCTCACAGCACGTGCTTTCTATGTATGCCGCCGGATAATTTTGTAACCTTATTTGTCTGTTAACAATTGATAAGATACATAATAATATATACGACAATTATACAAATGCAAATCAATAAGAACACTCTACTACACAACAGTATTGTTAGAAAACTATCTCTTCCAGGCAAACCTTGGGTGATACGAGAAACAGAGGACGAGTACCAGAAGGCTAGATGGACGGACGATTTAGTCAAAGTAAGCGAAAAGACCTGGATGCAAATTGCCTAAGAGCGAAGGACGTGCAAATGAGGAGGCCTACACTCAGCAGTGAGTGACTAAAGGCTGAAGAAGAAGAAGGTTACTTTAGTTTTACGTTACACCTTAAGGAACTTTCAAATATTCAAGTGACTTTGAAACGAGTTTTATTAGTAATCTTAAGTAATAGTAATGTGATCATTATTGTGTTCCGGTTTTGAAGGGTAAAGGTAGTGGTGAAATTACAGGCATATGGGACTTGTCAACTTATGGCTCAGGGAGACAGACAGGTGCAGTGGCAGTGTCCCTCAGATTTTTCCGATTTAAAGTTCGGAATGGCATTGCAACTGCTGTGGCCTGGAGTCTCGCATAACACCAGATGTACGACTTGTTCGTCCTGTCACTTGGTATAATAAAAAAAAGGCCATGTACTGAACGTAACCACCAAATTAGCATGAACATTTCCAAGTCTAAACAGTCTCGATCAGTAAAAAGTCGTAAACAGAAACGGAATGCCAGACATTCCAGTCATGCTACGAATGTAAGTCACGGCATGTCGTCACGCGAAGGGAGAAATAAGAAAGTTATAGATACGTTGGAAATTAATAGGGCTTTTATTACAGTCTATAATTAATATATTCCACACGCAAAATAGGCGCCTTGACGTCGAGTTGCGGACACCAGCCCGTTACACCAAGTACCAAGTACAGTTTATAAAGTTGGTGGCTAATTAAATACGCAATGGAAGGTCAACGCGATTAAAATATTAGGTCAATAATATGTACGCTGCGGTTAATTCGGAATATCTGATTTTTGCCCTATTAGTTCATATAACACGATCCTATCGGTTTGCATGGATTCGAACCAATTTTCCAGCAAACCGTGCGAGACGCTATCCCAATTAAGCCACGAAACGAAAACCTTACGAATTTTTCTATGTGATCTTTGTTTTTGGTTTTGAAGGACTTTTTTGCTCTAGCGCCATCTGTGAGAAATCTATTTCTTCACTCAGCCAGGCGCCTTTACCTCAAATCCAATTGCATTACTAGTAATTTTTTTCATGGACCAAAAAATTGACAATGCCAAAAGCGAAAATAGTTCCTAAAATAGTTTCTCTGTATTTGCTTTGGTTTCGAATTTCATTTCGGTATAATGTGTTAAGAGCCAAAGTTGTTTATAGCGCTTTTACACCCGACTTCGGTAAACTCTGTTTACAGTACAAATGTTCAATATTAACGAGCCTAACTGATTAGGTAAGATAAAGTACCTACACAGAAAAAAAGGATTTCTACTAATAAGAAAGAGCAATTTCTCAAAATATTTGCTAATTCTGAAAAAATATTTGTTAAAAGTAATAAAATATTGTCATTACAAAAATACTGCTTATCTTTTTCTAATACAAATTTACTCTTAACTTTATTCTAACTTTGAGACAAATACGTTCACTT